TCGAGCGCGCCGAGGACAGCTTTCCAAGCAGGGCCCCCACTTCCGGGGGGGGGGTCCAGGAGCTGAAGGATGCGCTGAACGAGACGGTCGTCTCGCTGCGGCAGGAGATGCGGGACCTGAAACGGGCGGCGAGTCCCGCGGGGGCCCCGCTTTCCCAAGCCGGGACTGCATCGCTCATCAGTTGGGAGGAGGGGGCCCCCTGTCAGCAGAGGAAGCTGGGAATGTTGGAGGGGAACGTCCCCTGGGAAGCTGCGGAGAACAAGTACCTGATTGCGGGGTGCCACATTGGGGGGTTCTCAAACCGGATGGTGTGTCTTCAAAAGAGCATGAACCTTGCGGTCGCGCTCAAGAGAACGCTCGTCATTGCGCCGTGGACGCAGCTGGAGGAGAGCAGCGGGGGGGACAATGTGCAGGTGGATCTAGACCCCGCCGACGTGTTGGATTTGAGGCTGGCCAACTATTGCACGGGGGAAGCGCAGAGCTTGTCGTGGGCAGACTTCCAGCAGGTTAACCAAGGGTTAACGGTCCAGGGTTTGTGTGTGTACCACATTGACGAGAAGCAGCGGTGTGTGGGGGGAATGCAGCTGGGAAAGGATATGCTGCATGCAGAGTTTGGTGCGATCGACGTGCTGGGGAGTGACGTCACAGACGTCCAGACTGCGCTCAACTTCTCTGCGGACGTCCTGTGGGTGAGTGTGCAGAAGGGCTCATTTGAACGGCTTCCATCTCTGTTTGAAGCAGTTTTGATGCAAGAAGCAGCTGACGCTGAGCAGATGAGCCTCCCTAAGTGTTTGAACACATGCTCTCCAAGACATGTTGCGACTGGTTCTTGCAAGCTAGTGTCAATGCGCTAGCCTGCTTTGCATAAAGCTGTTGAGCTGCGTGGCAACGCTGCAGACAATGAAGCTTTCTCGCTTGCCTCTTTGGTACATGTTAAGGATGCAGTTTCCTACGGAGCAAGAAGTTTGCGCTGTTGGGTCTTTCATCCTTTGGGCATTGGAAATATTTATCGTGTATGGTGATGTGGTACTGGTTTGGAAGATCTTTATCAAGTGTAGAGCATTTTGGTCGACAGCCATGATCTTGAGTGTCACTGGTAAGGATAACCCTTGTTTCCAGCGATGCTCTAATGCGGTCGCACCCCATGCTACCCATCTCCCTTACATGTGAAATCGGCCGAGCATAGCTTTCCAGAGGTGCATGCATCGATTGTCCTATAAGCCCTCTCTGGCTTCTGCCTACCTGAGCAACTTCTTGTCAAGCCAAAAAAAACCAAACTTGACCAGAAACTCCCGTTATTTCAAATAAGATCCGCTGAGTCTTGTCAGTTTTTTGATCCAATTGTGCCAGTGCTGTTTACTATATCGCCAGTTTCTCTATCAAGGTTCCTAAGCGGCACCAACAAATGCACAGAAATCTCTTCTGGCGCTTCCATAACAGCTGCCCCAGTTGGCGGCAGGCATCTTGTTCTGATCTTTGCCTCCTCTTTCCGGGCAACTTGACCAAATCGTTTCTTCCCGCGTGTCAACCAGCTGTCTGAGCCCATACACCTGACTAGGATCTCGTTGGCTCACTCACTGGAGGGCTTTTCTCAAAAGCCTTAAACAATGAAGAAAGCTGTGCGGTACGCCGCAAGCTTTGAGGACTTCAACCCCACTCCACATCCGATGGACTTCTTTGACAGGTGTCACAACGACCGTACTTTTCTTGACAGGTGTCAGAAGCAACCCACCTTAGCACTCTCTGGCAATACAACCCCAGCGTCAAGTGCAATCTGGTGAACGAGGTCCTGCAACCCAGCGGGACCATCCGCTTGGCCGCCAAGAAGTATATCCTATCAGCGCTGGGGAGCGAATATGCGGCAGTCCACCTCCGCAGGGGGGATTTCCTGGACTACGTCAAACTCACGGGGGACCAGAGCAAATTGTGAGGAGCCAAAACGTCCTTGGTACTTCAATTCTAAAATTCGGCTTGCCTCTAGTTTCATTGGAGGTCCTCAATCCTGAAGCCAGCTTTTGTTGTTTCTGCATGAGTCTAGTTGCGTTCTCCTGCCTTCAGTCTTTGCTCCCTGATACGCTCCGAGGACCCAATTTTGAAGGAAAGACCAAGCGAAAGTGGCCTGGCAGCAGGGAAATTTATACTAATTTGCGAACATTCTTCACATTGTCCAAATCAGGCATAAGCGAGATGAGACGGATAACCACCTCCCACTTCTCCCAAGGCACGTGGCGCTAGAGCCTGGTTGCTTTCTATCAAGAACTCTGCAAGAATACGATCAAGCAACCCCTTTGTTTCCATCAAAAGCACTCCGACCCGCGCCTCTGCTCTTTTCTCTAAATGGTCGTCTCACAGTGTCGCTCAGCTTTCTTTTCCTCCACACCTGCACCCCGCGCATCTTCAACTCGCCAAGTCACTTTCCTTTGCTGGATTTCCAAACAGCTCATGAAAGTTTCTCAAAGTTGTTTTCTTCCTTTCCCCCAGCACACGCATCAACACCTCCCCCGACGAGCGCTACGTCACCATCCCGATCCCCCAGGTCGCCGAGTGCCTCATCGCGGGGCTGCGCGGTAGTGGCATCCGCACCCTTTTCATGGCGACCAACGCGCCCAGTTCCGAGATGGAGCAGCTGACGTCACTCCTGGCGATGGCTGGCATCCAGACGGTGCGCCTCCCGGGGATGGACGATTGGGGCCAGTACCGCTGGGCCAAGTCCTTACCGACCACTAACCAGGTGGGTTTGGGAGCGGGTTTGCAGCGGGGGTCCACCTTCATCACGATTTGCTGAACAGTTCATTGACCAGTTTCGTGGGGCAAACCGTATCGTTGGGCCAAGGACTGGCCGTTTCGCGATCTGTAATAGTAGAGGCCCACTTCTTGATTCGCAGCAGTTTGTTGGCGGATCACGAACTCAGCCTCTAGTTTCACGTCTAACCTGCTTCCATTGACTGCGTTTTTGCGCCTGGATTTCGTTGCTTTCCGTTCTGGAGTTGCAAATACTGGATCTTTATTCAGCCTGCCTCAATTTCCTGCATCGGAGTTGAACGACATCTTTTAGACCTACAAGCTTGCCCGGCTTCGACTCGACTCTGTTTTTCAGCCGCAAGTTATGAAGCGCTGCCAAAGCCTCCTTGAAGCTGTTCGTTCTCCTGAAGTCCCACACACAAATCTCCCCCAATTCTTAGAAAACATCGACAATCTCTGTTGTTCTGAAAGCTCATAGACCAAATTTTCCAATGCGTAAAAAGCAGCACTCAACTCAGTGAAGTAAAAGCTCCCCTCGTGATCGCAGGTGCAAGCGCTGCTCGAGAAGTTCATCTGCGCGTCATCGACGGTGTTCATCAGCAGCCACGGGTCCATCTTCTCGGAGAATATCGCCAACATGCGCTGGGCCTGGCAGATGCAGGGCTGCCACGACCACGAACTGTGCACCAACCGGTCGCCATTAATCGCCCGGAAATGACCCCTCAAAAGTGACCGGTTGGTAATTACTGGTTCAGTCCTATTCGAGCTCCACTAGATATATCGAGATCAGCTTCATGTAGGAGGTCGAGCGGCGGGTATACGAGCACATGCAAATAACGAGTGCCCTATTTAGAAACGGTGGGAGGGTTCGGGTGGGGCGGCCGGGACTGGATGGCGGCCATGGAAAGGCTCTGCGCTTTGCTTCGCGCGTATTGATTAACCGGCACACGCCGATATTTGGTTACGAGTTTTGTCGTCCTAGTTGTCGATGTGAAGCCTAGAAAGTTTCTGTATCCTAGCCAAACACTGGAACAAGCACTAGTAGGACCTGCGCCAAATTGTGCGCGCCTTACGAAGGAAGCGGGCAGCTTTCCTACCGAGCTGTAGCCTCAACTCAACAGTGTTCAACGTTTTGTTGCAATTGACAACAATATACAAACCTTTATCTCTGGAACGTGTTCGAGACTGACCACGCTTACATCGACCCATTCTTCATTACCCACAATCATCGAGATTGCATGCTTGATGTTTGCATTAGAATACCGGCCCCAAAGTCCGCATTCACTTGTCAGGAACATTCTCAATGTGTTTGCCTGGGAACTTCATAAAGGTGCCACTACACTAGCTTTGACTCGCCGGATACTTTCACTTTCGCTTCGAGATGATGCGGACAGACGCGGTCGGGCATGAATTTACAATGATGATGAGTGCCACCTCGCTAGCTATTGCACTTCGAAAGCATCTACTTAAGCAAGCCCGAGATTCTCTGCAAAAAATAAAGATGGTGGTGATTACCGATTCTCAAAGTGAACGTCATGGAAAATATGCTGGCACAGCGACGAATCGTTTGAAATTCCACCTTATGCAGTCCTCGTAAAACCCAGTGCATAATTTCCAGCCACAGGCACTGCAGACGAGCCCCATATCTCTACATCGCCACAATGGGCGCTCGAGTTGAACGTCCTTGGATTGGTTGAAGCCCCCGGCCCCCGTGCATGCACAGGCATATCCGAGCTGAAACTTTGCCTAAATCATCACCGTCACAGTTTTAGTTGCGGGCAAGCCCGCATGGGGCCCGGATGATGCAAATCGCCCACGATTCGAAATACATAGAAAAACTCGCTTTATGGGGGCTGTAATCAATTGCCTTCCGCGCGCTCGCGTGCCGTCATGGAGTAGAATACTGGCAGGAGCGCGCGCGCCTCAGCTGGCCCGGCCGTGCGCCCGCGCCCGCGCGGCCGCCAATGGGCCGCCCGGATCAGAGAAATAGTGAATGCGCTCAGCAACCAGTACCTAAGACTGGGTCTCGCGCTTCTTGCCCTGGCGTCCTACCGTTTTCCAGGCGCTCATTCAGCGGAAAATCGTACCTGCACAGGTGCAAGACCATGGTTCACGTGGCTCCGTGGCTCCGCCCCAGTCCGTTCGATCTCCTGACGCGCCGGAAGCACCACGCAACTCAACTGAGCGCTATGCTGACACTTCGAAGCTTTACTTGAGCCTTGTTTTGGTGACGACTTTTTGCAATCCCCCACCACGCACAATTCTCAACAGTTTCTGTTGGAGCTTACGACGGCAACAGATTGTAGTCCCAGAAGCCCGCGGTAATCTTGCGGAAGCTCCGCTGTTCCGTAGTTCCGTCGAAGACGTGGGCGGTTGTTATACAAGAACCGGCCCGGCGCCCGGTGGCCGTCTCTTGTCTTCTCACCGAGTGGAAGTTGCAGACTGGCATCCTGATCGTGACACCCGTATACGGGCATTAACTTTCAGCGGCACCTGCGAGGCAAAAAGGTTCTTCGCGGTATGAATGGTGCGCGCGCGTGCGAGACTCGTTGTCGAAGAGCTTGAATTGAGATCTGGCAACTTTTACCCCGGAGCTGGAAGGCCTGGCGCAAGAAGCAGAGAACTGTTTTTGGATTGCCGATCGTTCGTGACGTACGATCGCCCTTCATGTCTGTCCTGAAAGGATCAACGCACCCTTTCTGGGATTAATCAATCCAGCGTTGTCAGCGATCTAGAAGGGCACCGCATGCGAGCAGCCATTAATGTTGGTGGGCTTGACGCCGTCAATTAAGAGCATGTTTCAAGAGAAGACTGAGGCTCTAGCAAACCCGACGAGCTTCTGTTCTCGTGTTCTGTCCTCTATTCGGGCATGCGGTTCCCCAGTTGCTGGCCAGGTTTCCCTCGGTTTGCGTCTCACGAAACCACTGATGAAGCGCCGGCGCCCACTGTTCAATTGATCTGATTTCTGGACTTTTCTCTTGGGTTCTTCCAGCCGAAACCTGCCAACTTAGATTACATCACACAGCGAAACTCTAAGCCGGGCACTGAACAGGAACTTGACGGGTGGAGTCAGTTAGGGTGTTGGATTGGGTCCGTGTGCGGCAGCGTGACCTCTGGATTGGGTTTGTACATGAACCCAAAAGAGCCCACGGATTACTGGCCCTCTGCTCCGTAGGTTGAAGATCACCTGAGCACCCTCTTGGACGACCTAGCTGTCCTCAGTGTAAATTTACCCCAGTAACAAACCCCGTGTCTTGTGCGGAACAAAGCTCAGCGCTTAAACTTTGCACTGTAAGCAAGTTCAGCATCCCGATCCATGTATGGAAGTCCTGGCTGGCCCCTAGAGCAGAATCTCTCATTACCTGATTGGGTGCCTAACGGCAGGGCGTCTGCCAGCTCAGCACTATTGCATCAATCCCAGTCAAGCCTGATAAACCTGGCAGGATTATTGGATCGACTTTGATACACTAGTTCGGAAATACTTTTGACGGGAAGCAGAGTCGCAGACTCCTGGGCGGACCGGAATGATAAGTGCATCAGCCGGCGCGCTTTTATGTATCATTGACGCGGGGGTGACGCGGTGCCCATAAGTAGTGCAACTGCTGAGTTCGCAGAATTTGAAATAGGACGCAGTAGAAGCTCGAGTGCTCCAAAGCCACAGTTTCGGCAAATTGAGCTCTGGCGTAACTCTGAGAAGATGCGCACCACCCTTCAATCGAGCTTGGCGTGTTCTGGGATCAAAATTTGCTGACTTTACGCTGACGAGACTGTTAGGAAAAGCGGCCGGTAGAAACGCCAGGCTAAGGCTCAGCTTGGCTCGTTCCAGAGATCAAGACTGCGCGCGCTTGCATTGTAAGGGAATTCCCCAAGATTCTGCCTTTCTGCCCACTATCACGTTTCGGCGAAGGCGCTCGATCTAGTTGGGCTCAGGGGTACAGAATCCAGAAATCGGAAGGGTGATCTTTTGGGTGACTAAGGCGGTATGCCTCCCACATGCCTCCCACATGCCTCCTAACGGATTCTGTCAGTTGCTGCCAGTAAGCGTCTGAAGACGCAGCACGACCGTTTGTGTATCAAGGGAACAGTATGTTAGATCAGTCGAAAACTGAAAGCGAGCCACAGGCGAGCAATTGCAAAGTTCTCTGCTTACAAATGGATATCGCGGCCACGTGTCTTCCACGAGGAGATCGCTTCCGACCACGCGCGCCATGAGCCCGCCGGGCAAGGAAAGCGAGTGGGGTCCTCAAGTTGGTCTTAAGGGCGATGGGGGCTCTGAAGCGGAGGCCAATGCTGTAGGGAACAGTGACAAGAAGAGTCGGATTGGAAAACGAAAGGGGCGGGAACGCAAATGAGCAACGGATCAAGTTATTTGACAGAACGTCTGGGACATAGCTCTAGCAAGCACTACTCAGACGAAGGTAGATCCGTTGCAGTGTCGGACTAGCTTTGCAAAGAACGAACGCTGGACTTCATCCTCAGCAAGTGTCGTAGACTTTGATTGGATTCAGATCAGCACCGGACGCGCTTGGAAACCCTCTCGGATTGCGTTTCGGACAGAATGTAACATTTTGGAGGTGTCCGGATTACGTCTGAAAGTGTCTAATCCGGACAGAAATCCTGGTCCAAAGGAGTCCAAACCTAATTCAAACACCTGGTCCGAATCGGATCCGAACTCTCATGTCCGTCTTGTAGCACCAGTCTGAAACGTGTCTGAACTGGATCCGAACCTGTCCAAACCTGATCCGGACCGCAAATTCAGTTCGGATCCGGTTCGGACCTGGTTCGGACAGAAGGTTTCTCGCAGTGGGCCGGGCCGGGCCGCGCGCGACCGTGGTCGTTCATTAAGTGCTTTCAGGTGAATATGAATGTACGAATCGAATATGTTCGTTTCTCAACCGGTTAAGCCTCAGCAGCAACGAGCCACACTGTGGAGCAAACGCGCACCTTTCGTTGCGCAGCTGAAGTGTTTTCCTTTCCGATCCTAGTACGTTTGTAGTGACACTACTAAAGGTGTACAAATCTTCGAAGGATCGCCCACTTCTGCATTTTCTCAGCGCCTTTCGGTGCTTCTGCCACTGTTTGATTGCCTTTCTTTGTAGCCGGGAAGTAGTTCTTCCGACGCCGATTGGCCTTCTGGATGTCGGACTGCATGAACGGGTGTCAATGCCCCGAATCTGCATTTGTCACAATGCTCGCTCGAGCAACCCGCGGTGTGCATACAGAAAGTATCTGTCACTTTAATGTCTGTCCTGATCAGAGCAATTTTGTTCGAAGCTGGAAAGGCCTTGTCATTGGAAACATGATGCGGTTATTGACAATTTGGATTTGAAGAATACGGGAAGGACTGCATCATACGGCCGTCTCGCCCATATCGTCGTAGCATTATATTCGTGACACTGTGTCGCGAGGGCCGCAATTTCACAATTCCTTTAAGCAACTTTCGGGGATATCTTCATTCTGAGCAGCATCTTTTGTTGAAAGTCAGCGAAGTCGAATTTGGTAGCGTGTAACGAGTCCGACGGCCAGGACGACATGAAACGGATGCTCGCGAAGTGATTGAAAGACCATGCAGGCAGAGATAAAGACAACTTGGAGACCAACACGAACTTTGTGCCGACTTTCGAACAGTACCTTTTGTTTCACACAGAGCGTGGGCCAATTAAGTCAACGTGCGTATGGAAAAGGGCACCCTGCAAAGATGCAGCTTGGAAAGTGTAC